GCAGTGCTAGTATCACAGAAGTTCTTGGGTTCGAGAGTCCTCGCGGGCTATGAGCTCGACAGTCTTATGGCACCGAGTTGATGCGATTTGGGATGTCATGAGCTCGGCGCAGAAACTGCTTGCCCCTGGACGTTGCATTCTGCGTTCCTTGCTCAGCCTCATGCTGCAGACCCTGGCGGCGGCTACATGCGCCACGCTCCCTCTCGCAACCACTACGCGCTAGGTGCACCTGCAAAGCACGCGGCGGTCTCAAGATAGCATCCCGTCATGTTTATTGACCCATGATCCCGTCTAGATTGCAAGCGGTTGTCTCGGATTGATACAAAGTTGATACAAACCACGGCGAACGCGGAAGGCAGCCACCTCGCCGTCAGTCTATGCAGTAAGAACAGGGACCCACGGGACTGGCCTGGGAAAGATACATTCTGGACGAGCAAAAATACGATCCAACGCAGCATGACTGCTGCTCGTTTGCTCGATGTGGGAGACTGGATCCTGGAAGCCGGATATCCGGATACGCGAAAAAGATCCAACGCGTGGTGTTCGTCGCGCAATTTCGATGTCGACGACGCCCGCGAGGTGGCAGCGCATGCTTGCCGAGCTTCCTTGTGCGGACGCGCCCCGCGACTCGGAGCGGCCATGGACTGCGGAGGAGCACACGCGCTTCATCGACGGCCTCGAGCTCTACGGCGCGTCGGCCTCGCCGCCATGGGCGCTCATTGCGGCCTGCGTCGGGTCGCGCTCCGAGTGCGAGACGAAGGAGCATGGCGAGTTCTACCTCCACGCGCTCTTAACGCAGTCGCTGCTCGAGGCCCACCAGCCGCGCGTGTGGAGCGACGAAGAGAACGCGATCTTTGAGGACGCCCTCGCCCACGAGCCCAACCACGGGTCGCCGTCCTGGACCAAGATCGCGCTCGCGCTGCCCGGCAAGACCGTGTACGACGTCATGGACCACTACGAGCGCCTTGTGCGCGACCTCACGGCGATCGAAAAGGGCATCGAGATGAACACATCGTCCGTCGAGTCGGACCTCCGCGTCGCAAGTACTCGCATCTCTCGACTTGCGCAGAATCCTAACGTACATGTCTGTCTAGATATGCAGCTCATTGCCAGCATTGCGTCGGCCAAGAACCACGGCGACCTCCTCCAGCTCTTCCGCGACGCCCACGACAGCGCGTGTCCAGTTGAAGTCGCCACGTGCCTCGCGACGGCGGTCGTGGCCATGGTGGCGAGCGACGACTCGGTGACAAAAGGCTTGGTCAAGCTCACGATGGAGGTTACGCCGACGACCAAGCGCGTCGCCAAGGGCAAGCCGCCGCTGGCGCACAAGAAGGCCAAGGCGAGTGCGAGTATGAAGCAAGGGACATGCTAGTCGTTTATATTCTCTACTTACTACTACTACTAAAGCTTACTACTACTCGTGTGCCTACTACACCTGTACTTCTACCCGACGCTTCTTCTGTGCCTACCATCCTAAATCCTACATCATCATCCATGTTGTTCCTACTGCGCCCTTGGTCGTCGTCGTCGTCGTCGTCATCGTGGGCTTAGACCTGGTAGCGGGCGGCGATGACCTCTTGGAGAGGCCCCGGGAAGCTCGCAAAGTACCGCGCCCAGTTGTCGCCCAAGCTCATCTTGAAGCCTTGCACGATCTGCTGGAGGTTCTCATGGAGCTCGTTGCTAATGTCGTAGCCGTCGTCGCCCTTCTCGAGCGACGCGAGCGCCACACACATGGTCATAAAGTCCTGGACGATGCCCTGCGGGTTGAGCTGGACGAGGTAGCAGAGACCCGTAAAGCAGTGCTCGCGGTCCGTCGCATCGCCCACAAAGCGCAGCGCCGCGCACCATTGCTTGGCAAAGCTCTAGACACCATATCGAGTGAGCCAAACTCAAACTCAATCGTACAAAAACGTACCGCGAGCGACGGCGCGAGCGACTTGGGCACGACAACACCGAGGCGGCCAATCGTGATCGCGCAGTTCTCGTGGAGACCGCGGTTGCGCTTGGCGTCGACTTGGTTGAGCACAAAGAGGAGCTTGTCCATCGCATCGGACGCAAACGGCTCAATCTCGGCCCCGGCCTTCATGGCGACTTCGCCAAACGCCCAGCTCGCATTGTTGCACACAGAAGGGTACTCGGGGTTGATGTTGGCGAGCAGGAGCGGCACAATCTCCTTGACGTGCGGCTGGACGAGCGTCGGGCAGTGCTTGGCAAAGTCCCCGAGGACCGCGAGCGCCGACTGGCGCACGTTGGCGTCGTGGAACCGGACGCACTCGACCACGAGGTTCAAAATGTTGGTCGGGCCAATCAACGTCGCCATCGAGCCCGTGAGGCCGTCCGTGATGCCCGAGACAAGGTCAAGTGCGCAGACGACAAACTCGGGGTCCGTCGCCTCAATCTCGTTCGGGCTCTGGCGCGCGAGCGCCGACGAGAGGAGACCGTTTTCAATGAGGCGAATGCAGCGATCGAGCACGGGCGCCGCAAACTCTTGGAAGCCAGCGCCGAGCGCCGACGCAATCGACGTGAGGCACTCGAGGAGCGGGAAGAGCTCGGCGTTGTCGTCCGGGAGCGCGTTCCACTTGACAATGAGCGGCGGCATAAACACCGCGACGAGGTCCGGGCGGTTGAGGTAGCTCCCGACCGAGTCGGCGAGCGTCCCGATCGCGTCGTACAAGATGAGGAGGTTCCGCGCTTGGTACTTGCCAAACGCAAACATGAGGTTGTGCAGAATCGGCGTCAAGTACGGCACGAGCTCCTCGAGAGCCTCTTCTTCGAGCGTGCAGAACGCAGAGCACGCCGCCTGCTGCACCTTCTTGTTCGGGTCCGAAATGCGCTTCAGCATCGACTCGAGGAGCGGGCGCAGCACGGTCTCGTGGTCGTTCATCGAGACGGCCCAGTTGGCGTACCGACCGAGCGTCCAGCACGTGATGCTGCGAATGTACGGCGCCGGGTCGTCCATGAGCGTCAAGAGGTACGGGAACAGCGCCGGGAGGTGCGGCAAAATGCCGTCCATGCAGCCCTCGGCGATCGCACCGAGCGCCAAAATACCGCTCTCCCGCACGGCCCAGTGGCCCGTGTGGCCGAGACGCTCCTGCAAGAGCGGCAGCAGAATCGGGAGGATGTCGACGCCGAACGCGTGCGAGATCGTGTCGAGGCCCGCGGCCGCCGACTTGCGCAGCGTCCACTGCTCGACGTCTTCGTCGTCGTCCATGTCGCCGTCGTCCTCGTCGTCGTCGCCATCTTCGTCCGTGTTGCCGCGGTTTTCTTGGGGCTTGGCCTTGTGGAAGATGGGCTTGATGTCCTCCGGACGGTCGGGCACCGACTCGTTCTGCTCCTGCTCCTCGATCTCAAACATCGAGATCGTCTCCTCCGAGTACACCATGCGCGTGAGAAGGAGCGGAATCAAATGCGGCAGCGTCTGGCTAAGGACGGGCTTGACGTCCTTGAAGAGGTGCGACGGCAAATCGCAAATCGACGACCAAAACTCGCACGCTTCGAGGGCGACGTTCTCGTCGTCGTCCTAGGACACGTGGCCGCATGAGAGGCCGTCATTGGAAACGGAAAATGAGCGTACGCTGGTCGAACGCAGGATAAACTGCACGATCGACGTAAAATGCGGCATGAGCACTTGCATGTTGACTTCCAGCAAGATGACGATGCTCTGGCACACGAGCTTGCGCACGGCGCTCGACGGGTCCTGCGTGAGGTGCGAGATGCCCTAAGCACATGCAAGAAGGTTCATGAGCGCCATGGAGGTCGACGAGCAAGGAAGGCCTAGGTCGTACCTGCAGGAACGAGTCCATGTTGACAACGAGCGACGCGGGCATGATGAGAATGACTTGGTTGATGCAGTTGAGCGCATCGCGGCGAAACTCGGCCTTCGGGTGGTGAAAGTACTTGAGGAAGATGGGCACGAGCAGCGTGAGCGGGCGCGTCGGGAGGCTCGGGCTCTCGAGCTTGTCCGCGTGGTCTTCGCAGATCTTGCTGAGCGCGCCAAACGCGCCCTCGACGCCATTCTCGTTCGCAGCATCTTCAAGGTACCGAATGAGTCCCGGGATCATCTCCGGGCACTGCTCGAGCGTCACGAGCTGCGCGACGACGGTCGTGAGTAGCACGCCAGCCGTCGACCGGATGCGGCCATTGGGGTCTGCGAGGAGCGCGAGGATGCTCATGCGCATGTACGTCTGCATCTCGAGCGAGAGCGTGTGGTAGATGGACTTGATGCTCTTCTTGAGGAGGAGGCCGGCGACTTGGCGGATGCCAATGTCGGGGTGGGCGGCAAACACGTGCAGGAGGTAGAGGTAAAACTCGGGGTTCTGGCTGTACTGCGTTAAACGCTCGTAGAACTGCTGCTGCACCGCGTTGTCCGGGACCGTCGACGCCTGCAGGAGCGTCACGACGTCATGGAGCGCTTCGGGCGACGGGCTCCAGTTGCTCATGCTGCTGCGTAGTAGTTAGTAGTCACTCCAACTCGAGACTGGCCGCGACCAAATTTGGCGAGCATCCGGATACACGCGCCGACCTCTTCCGCCCCAATCTAGTGGCTAGCGCGGCGTATCCGGAAAACCGCCGACGGCCACGAGAAGGCCGATGTGTTTTTCACACGCGGCCATGTGGGAAATGCACGCCTTGCCCTTTGTGCTTTGCGCTTTGTGCTTTGCTGCTGCTGGAGGCGGTGGGCAGATGCAGACAGCAAGGGTGTATTGCTTTCACATCGATCGTATTCTCTGCAGACCAGAGGTCGCATTCACGAAGATGCAAGTGGAAGGGCCATGGACAGACGAACGCCTGGTACACAGCAAATGCGAAGAAGACAGTCCGGTAGCTTTCAAGGCGTGCAAAACGTGGGGATGAGATTGCGCAGTAGGGTGGGACGGCGTAAAGAAACGCTTGCTGTGCTTGTTTCTCGGTAGTATACGGTATCTCGAGTAGCCGTGGTTTTCGATCTGGTCCCGAAGCTTCCACCGCAGCTTCCAACGCCCCGAGCGAGTGCATAAGCTATGCAGCGTTCCTGGGTCGTCCTTGGGATGGTAGACATACGACTGGCATCCATCCTTGGAAGCCCCCACGCCGGACACACAACGTCGACGGTTCTGTAGCGTCATGATGGCGGGGTTTTTCACAGCGTCGACACCGCCACACCGACTTTACACACGTATTTTTCACGTGTCTTTTTGATGTGCACAGTGGCGGCGATATGTGCTTCGATGTTCTTGATATATTTGGTTCGAACTTCGCTTTGAAGAAGCGCACCCAATTGCTTGTTTCCGCCCCGATTTCATGTCGGAAATTCAAGGACGCACCCATTACGAAAGCGTCGGACGCGATTCGGATTGGTGCAATTGCCGAGAATGGTGTGATCGACGCGCCGGCATCACATAAACGAGCACCTTTTTCGGGCATAAAGCCGCGTGGAGGGGGCGCAGAAAGCGCACTGGATTTATGGCGGTAGGTGCGTAAAACCACGCAAGTTGCAGTTGGGCTTTGCGTGGCTTTGATGTGAAATCGAAAATCAAGCGTCAGATCTCAACTTGCAGCTTCGACACCAGTCTCTCTACCGACAGCATGGCCGACACGACGATCGAGTATGGGGCCGCCTTTGCGCCCATCACGATGGAGAACGAAGAGCGCTTTACGGGGCCGCTCATGAACTACTACGCGGCCGAGGCCCGCGACGAGTGCTCTGACTCGGAAGATAGCCTCTACTGCGCCGCCCTCGCCGCGGCCTTTGGCCCGGCACCGACCCTACCCATGTATTACAGCTTCTTGTAAACAGCCTATCGCGTGATACCCATATATATTAACACACAATACATTAATGATTCAAGTCGCTGTCGCCACGGGGAGCCCGTACTTGGCCCGCAGTTCGTCGCGCCGCGAGCTGTTCTTTTGCAGCCGCTGATGCTGCATTTCCAGACGCCGCATCTCGACCGACTCCATGCTACAGGATTCATGTCAGCATCAGCGGACATGGACGCGCAAAACGCGAGTGAACATCGTACCCTTGGATGACGCGGTTCATCTCGGCGTGCTCCTGCGCCAAGCTCTTGGCCTGCTTGGCGTTCTCGGTAGCGGTAAGGTACTAACAGAGGCATGCGCTTGAGCCACTCGAATGCGTCTCTTGCCATGCTACCTGCAAAAGATCGACCGCCGCTTGGATCGCGCTTACCCACGCATCGCGGGCGGCTTGCGTCGGCGCATCCAGTTTGTGGTTTTGCGCCGGCGTCTTGATGGTCATGGTCACGGAGCCAGCGGCTTCGACGCTTGCGACTGTTTCTAGCAAGATGATCTTGGTCTCTCCTGCATATGCAACAAGCCATGATAGCGTCAAGGATCCGCTCGAAAAAACAGTACCCGAGTACTGCTGCGAGTTGAGGTCCACCGTTTGGTACTGGAGGCTGTTGTCGACAAGTCGGAGCTTGACGCAGCGGTCCAAGAGGAAGCCTAGACTTGGCAATGAGACGTCGCTGGTCGTGGCGTCCGGCAAACCGTATTTTGTAAACATGTCGCCGTCGCGGAGCAGCGGCAAGTGGCGCTCAAAGAACTCGTTCTCGCGCACGACGGACGCAAAGCAGCTGTGGCAGATGCGCACGGGCGTCGTGATGTCAAACTTGCGGATCGTCTCAAACCCACTCGCGCAGGTGCCACAGACAACTAGAGCATGCATGAGCCTTCCGCCTCCCGAATATGCAGTAGCGTACCGTCGCCGCAAGCGCGGCAATGGTGCTTGCGGTGGAAGAGGCCGAACTCGACGTTGCAGGACGAGCACGCATCTGCAATGTCGTCGTCTTCCCACAGAGGCGCTTGCTCAATGGCGCCGAGTACGATGCGGCGGGGCTTGGCGCCGTTGATGTAGCCTATGCCGCCTTAACGCCAGTCGAGGTCGAGGGATCCTACGCTGCGAGCGGCTAAGCGCAGCGAGGTTGTTGTCGTCGTCGCTGGCGATGCACCACATTCCCGGGCACGTTGTGAGCGTTTTGAGCATGATGCTGGTGCCAAGGATACTCGGATTTGAGTGTGGTAGCAAGTATTTTATTCGCACTCGATATCGTATGGTTTGTATGCGGAATTGGCCATTCGTTTTCTATTGCGCCACTTCAACTGCGCGCTGGCCAATCGGACGTGGCGCCGCCCGCCTTCTACCATTCAACACTTGGTGATCACCCTCATCACCGACTCGATAGACCAGGCAGGGACTAGATTTTGATGCACAATATAATCAGTTTCGTGCTTTTCACAACCAGATCTGCTTCCACGACCAGAAGTGGCGTCAACGGGGTCGATGAGCTCATGTAGCAACTGATGTTGGTGACTAGTAGGTGGACGCTTGGTCGGTTTAGAGCTGACTTTGCTGACGCACTCAATGGTACCGGCGGCGACCAAGCAGCACACGAGGCCCGAGCCGACATGTACGAAGGTCGCACTTGGTACGGCCCAACATACGTGCCAGACTCGTCCATTCCCTGGGGCTCCAACCACTCCAGGAAATAACATGCAGCTTCCCGAGCTGTCACGACAAGCAGCCTATTCAGGAACTAACTGGTACCATGCAACGGAGAAGCAGCTTGCGCGGCTCACTGGCCGGCCGGTCGATGCTGCGTGCAGGCTTTTGTTTCATTTTTTCGTATTATATGCTGTTAGATATCACGTCACTGTTCTACTTAGGTCTTTGCTACTATCGTCGCGGCGTTGGCTTGTTGACTCGATGCACCGAGATGCGTGGGTGGTGGTGGCGTCCATCGTAGGCGTCTTCGTCGATCGCGTTGTTTGTCGCCAGGAGCGCTTGGCACTCGGCTTTTGTGGCTTGGATCTTGCTTTGAGCGAGTTGAAGCACTTGGGCGAGCCGGTTGATGGACACGGCTGAGACGACTTGGGCGCTGCGATCGGTCGTTGTTGCTGTAGACATCTGGGCCTTGGCGGCGTCGAGCTGGGCTTGGATATTGCGAATTTGGTCGTCGCGCGTCGCCAGAAGCTCGCGCTTTGCGATCAAGTCGCCCTTGAGCTGGTCGACAACATCACGGAGCGTCTTGGCTTGCTGGACGCCGTCGTCAAGGTCGACGTGAAGGCAGCGAATGGTCTTGTCCTTGGTCTCAATCGTCGCTTCGTGAAGGAGCTGGGCGCTGCCAGCGGCCATCTTGGCCACGGCAAGCTGACCCAGTAGTTCATCGATGCAATCTTGATGCAAGACCAAGGCGTTGTCCTTCGCCGACGCTTCACGGAACGACCGCTGCTCATGGCCGTCCAAGTCCGCTTGGAGCATCTGGATGCGCTCGCCCATGCTCTGAATGGTGCTTGTAGCATCGCGAAGGCGGATCGCGTTGTCGTCTTCGGTCGTCTTGGACGTTGCAAGGTCGCGCTTGGTCTGGTCGAGCGTGTGCTCGGCGTGTGCGAGGTTGCTGGTCGTGAGCTCGAGTGTCGCTTGAAGCGAGGCGGCGAGGTTGTCCTTGGTGGTTGCCGCCCGTGTCAACGCAGCGATGGCATCGGTCGCCGCTGCGAGGTCGGCCGTCGCTTGGTGCAGCTGCCCTTCGATCTCTGAGGTGTAACGCTCTGCGACATGCGCCTCATCAGCGATCTTTTGTGTCGTGGCAGCCTCCGCCGTCATCGTGGTCTGGAGACGGTGGTTGAGCTTGGCGAGCGTGTGGAGATCGCGTTGCAGGCCCTCCGATCGAGTGTGCTGGATGCGAGCGCGCTCGAGGTTGGCGTCGTGCTGCGCGGCCAGCGTCGCAAGCTCGGTGGTCAGAGCCAACTCTTTGATCGAGTGTTCTTGGCGCAGCTTGGCATCCGAGGCAGCCAAGGCTTCCTGGTGTTCTTGCTGCAGCGTCGTCGTCACAGCGGCAATGTTGGCTTGGTGCTCGGCGCGCAAGGTCGTGGCCAACGCTGCCAACTGCATCTGGCAGTCGGTGCGGAGGCTCTCGAGGCGTTCTTCGTACTCGGCGCGCAAGGCAGCGAGCTCACGGGCGTGGCGTCCGGGAACGGCCATCGCTTCCGGCGCTGTCGTCGCCCGATGCATGCGCGTGCAAACAGTCGAGGCGGCGCGCGTCGTACGGGCCGACGTGGTCGGTCCAGGCTTGGCCTTGGAGGCCGCGTTCGTGGAGGGGTTCCAGCGAGGTGCTTGCATTTCAATCGTGATCGAAATATGAGCTTCTTCGCTCGCAATGGTATCTCGCTTTTGTACAGGGAAAGGATGATGGCCCCGAGTCTTACAAGACTTTACCAGTAGAAATCAAAAAGCCAGGAGTCGTTTGAGAGTCAACTTTACACTGAAATCAGTATGCGAGGGCCGCAGACTCGTCCCAGTCAAAACCTCTCCAACACCACGCAAGCTACGGCCTCCCCACTAGCCGGCTCGCGCGCTGGAGCTTCAAGCAGGCGGCGTGGTGTGAAATCGCGTAGCTGGGTCGTTCCCAGACCATATTGCCAATAAAAGTCTGTTGCATCGATATCGATGCAAGTACATTTTACTTGGATCGATATCGATGCAACAGACTTTTCTTTGGATCGATATCGAGGCGACTGACATCCATTTGGATCGATATCGATGCAACTAACTTTTACTTAGCTGGATAAATTGTTTTGCAGTCATTTGAGATTTTGCAGTCATTAGAGAAAATGGAAGACATAGATGGCAGCGGTGGCATTATGGCCACGAAGCACGGCGCGAGCTCGCGCCGACAAGACGCAACGGTGGCCAACAAGTATGCTGCGTTCTTGCTCGCGGACCCCACGGTGGCTTACCTGCGCGCCCAGCCTGGTGCTTGTCTGACCATCGACAACACACCGCTGACCCCCGACATATATTCCAAGTTCGCCCTCTACCTGCAAAGCGTCGCGGGTGCAAAGGTCAGCCGAGGCACCTCCATGATCTACTTGAGCTCGATTCGCCGCCAGTCGCTAACGATCCACCCCTCGGCGACCCTCCTCGTCGATGCCTGGGCGACGGAAGCGCGTCTATTGACCCACAAGGCGTATCACGCTTCAAGCCTGGCCACCGGCACGAAGCTCAAAAACTCGGCTCCTCCGATGAGTCTTGCTGACTTGAGCCATATATGCTTGACGCTCTGGTCGGAGAACGACGCGCCGGGCTTCGTCAACAGCTCACGTGACCGGTCTCTGATCTCCATGCAATGGAGCGCAATTGGCCGCAGCTCCGACATGGGAGGTTTACGCTACGACCAGCTTTTGTGGAACGACGATTGCCTCGTCGTCTCGCTCGATCGCCAAAAGACGGCAGAGTGCCAGTCCATTTCCGTCGTCCATGCCGCCCTTCAGTGGACGCTCGACCCTCTGCACGCTCTTGCATGCCAGTTTGCATCGCGACCACACGACACGAGTTTCCACATCTTCTCGCAACTCGGCCATGAGAACGATGGTTCTAACCATTACTCGGCGCACATCAACCGGGTGCTGAAGCGGCTTGGCGGCAAGGATCACGCTGACGTTTTAACACCCGGCCTCTCGTCGCTCAGTCCGCGTCGGGGTGCGGCCACGACTGCGAGCAAGAGCGGTGACGTCCAACTCCCTGATCTCGCTGCCCGTGGGAGTTGGGCTATGGACTCGTTTGCGACTATTATGGAGTATATGTGCGCGACGCACTCTGGCGATCTTCGCATTGCTCGCCAACTGGCTGGCTGGGCGAACCCAAGCCAACGCCATACGCCGCCGATGCTGCCTCGCTGCCCGTCGACCAGCACCGAGCCTCTCAGCGGTGTTTCCGACGACAATATTGTACGTTTCAGCAACGAGCTTTTCATGCACTACGTCCATGTCCCGACCGCGCTCCGACACGTTCTAACAGCGACGCTGCTGTTGTACTTGTCGGATACGATGTCCGTTTGCGAACACCACGTCGTGCACGACGTGATGTTCGAAACAGCGCTTCATGTCGGGATCGACAAGCCAAAGCTCCTTCAACTCGGTCACGACGTCAAGATGGCTTTTTGCCTCGCCAATGCCAATGTCTTGCCGGTTGGCACACTTCACGCCAACGCCTCCGTCGAGGATCGCTCGCGACTTTTTGTGGCTACTCGAACTTTTG